TCCCATCTGCTGGAGGAGGGAGAGACTTGGCTTTTTTTTTTTTTTTTTTGAGAGGTTTTTGCTATGGTGCGTGTGTGCTTGCCAGAAAGACAGAGAGAGACAGAGAGACAGAAAGCGAGAAATCACTCCCCGGGGTGGATGGCCACGCTGCAATCCCTTCTCCTCCATTCTCCTCTTGGGATCTTGGAATCTTGGGCACACATGAACACGTGCCCGGCATGAGTTTAAGCCACCGGGTCTGGGACTCGAACCATAGTAGACTACATGAGAGTCCAGCAACATAGCCATTACGCTAACTGCTGGTCCCAACAATGACTGTCTTGAATGTATCAGTTTTGTCATCCAGTCTTCCAAGGGGCTCACAGAACCTCTTTTCTCAGCCCCTTTCCCTGCAGGGGCCTCCAGCTCTGACCCCTGCTTGTGCACAGTGGCCGTGGCTATGAGTGAGCGGCCATGATGATGTCCGTGGCCCATGTTCTACTCCACCTGCTTTCTTTGAGGCACCGCCTAACTTCCCTTGGGTTCAGGGCCTGCCTTGGTTCCCCATACCCGAAGTCCAGCGGTCGGAGCGCGCTTGGCGCCTGCCACCTCCTTGTCAGTCACTCCCCACCATGATGCTCATGCCCGCGGGGCCAGCTGGGGGCGACGTGGCGGTCTGATGGTCTTCCTGGCTCCCACCCTGGCAGGCACAGGGCACCGAGAATGGCTGCAGCCCACAGAGCAGACCCACACGGGAGGGGCCTTCTCTCTGCCCATGCAGGCCGTGGGCCCTCCTCAGACACCCCTACATGGAGTCCATGTGATCTTCTGGGTGTCAGCTAAAGGACCCAGCAGGAAAACACAGTGACCCCCACTCCCTGAGGCGGGTTCCAAAGCCACACTTCTGGGTCCAGGCCTCTAGAGGGAGGCGATGGGCTGTCCCCTCTCATTTGTCCAGTCTGATCTGGGCCTGAGGCTCCCCACTTGGGAGGGGGAGCTGGCTCCTGCCACACGCCTGGCAGGCCCATGGGACTCAGGGGTTTACAGTCAGCACTGGCTCCAGAGCAGGCCTTCTGCACCTCCCTGCACTGTCACTGCTACAGGGCAGGTCCTCTCCGGACAGCAGCAGAAACATGGTGGTTCTCTGGCATAGACTCTGGATATGGTGAAGCCGATTTTGCTTAAGGTCGTGTGCCCTAGTATTTCTGGACGGAGGCAGTCATCAATGGAACGTTCCTTTGGTTGCATCTGCTATGTGTGGGGTCATGCAGAGCCCTGTACTTGGACAAGAGATGCTTCTGGAACATTATCAGGCAGGATGCGACCAAGTCCCATAGAGCACCCGCAGCCCATATCCCCCGGGACACCTGGCCTGGACCTGTGGTTGGCTGACTCTGCTGCCCCAGACGAGAAAGGAAAAATGCCCGGCTGTCCCCCGTCCAGTACCTCCACTCGCTGCCAGGCCCCACTCTGGTGCTGGCAGCTTGGAAACTCACCTGTGGCAGGAACTAGGGCAGAGGGGGTGAGAGGGGGTCGCCCTCTCCTGGTCACATGGTGCCGCAGGGTCTTCCACGCTGTGTGGCTCTCCCAGCTTGGTGGAAATAGATCCGGGCTGAACCAGACATCAGGCCATGTGACGAGGTGCAGCGACATGGCTCCTCATGGCTGCGCCCCCTGACCTCCTCTTGCCTCCTGCCTTGCAGATGATCCCCCCAGACCAGGAGCTGCTGGTGTGGTACGGGAACTCCCACAACACCTTCCTCGGGATCCCTGGCGTGCCCGGGCTGGAGGAGGAGCAGAAGAAGAACAAGCATGGTAGGCATTCCCTGGGGGCATGGGGACAGACACGGGGGAGCCCGGGGAGGGGAATTTGGCTCTCCACGTCCAGAAATCCCGGCTCTCCCTCGAGCAGCATCTAGCAGAGATGACCTCCTGCCCCAAAGAGGCCTGTGCCCTGGAGCTGACACACCGTCTGGGCAGGGCGGAAGACAGTCCTGCTCCCCGGCCAGCACAGGCCATCTAGGGCAGGCGAGGGAGACCCAGAGAGGCAATGGGGTGTGGCAGGAGAAAGGGGCTGGGCAGAGGCACCTGGACTGAGGCTAGCTCTGCTGTACAATTCTGGGAATGGCCCTGTGCCTCAGCTTCCTCCTCTGTAAAGGAAAGCTGTTGGGCCAGGTGGTCCCTAAGACCCCTTCCAGGCCTGACAGTCTCAGTTCCCTTGCCCGTCCCTGGCGCCTGGTGCAGGCATGGCAGAGCAGGCGTGCTATCCCCCTGTGGGAGACCGTGCTGCGTGTGTGCTGGGCACGCTGCCTGTCACCCCAGAGAGCACGTGTCCGGGCCTATTCTGTACCAAGTGCTGAGCTAAACCTTCCTCGTAGGAATCATCCCACTGGGGCCTCAGGAAACTGCTGTAAAATGTAATTGTCCTTATTTTTAGAGACAAACCTGACTCAGGAGCCCTTGTTCTGCCCCTCACTTTTTATGAACATGAATTTCTCTGATCTTCACAACAGACTGAGGAGGTGACACCGTCATTACCTCCATTTCAGAAACCAGAAAACCAAATCTGCCTCCTGGGTTCAGAGGGGCACCCAGTAAATATCGGGGATGAAGAAAGGCTTTTTTCCTCTTTTCCTCTTTGCGGGGAGCACATCACAGCTGCTGCTCTCTGAGCAGGCACTCCTGCTGCTAAGGCACGCCTAACCTTCAAGGGGCGGCAGAGTTTTCTGTTTGCTTTTTACAGAGGTTTTGGCTATAAGTCACACTTTCAGTGGAGAGACTGAGAGATACAGAAAGTGAGAAATCACACCCCCAGTGGGGAGGGCCACACCACAGTCCCTTTTCCTCCGTTCTCCTCTCGGGATCTTGGGCACGCAGGCACATGTGCCCAGCGTGTTTTAATCTGCCGGTCCGGGACTCGAACCGGGTCGACTACGTGGAGTCCAGCAACCTAGCCATTACGGTATCTGCTGGTCCCTGTTTGTCTGTTTTCCTGATCACCTCGGGCGCTCGGCGAGGCAGTCCTCGGTGCCCTTTTTACACAGCAGAGGGCTGAGGACGTGCGGCTGCGTCGCTCATTCCCCGCGGTCTCGGCAGGCTCTGGAGTCTGGCTCCTATCGGATCTCAAGCCAGGGCTCTTCGCCGCGCCTCCGGCCG